ATACAGGGCAGGTGAAGTAGATTTCATCTGTTTCTTTGTCCTAAGCATATGAAAGGATAGTGTGGTCAGAGACATGCTCGGCTGGAATCGTTTTTTAAACGATAAAAACATGTTGTCTGAGACTTGGCGGGACACTGGGCAGGTGAAGTAGAGTTGAGTAGGTCACATGTGACGTCAGTATATGAAGGAATAGTCCGAAATCGGTGTTTTCGGTGTTTTTAAAAGATAAAAAACATATTTTTGAATGTGGGGTCTGTTTTTTGTGACGATAAGTGACACTGCAGTAGCGTAGCGAGGAGAAGGGGGGGGGCGGGAGGGGAGGCGGGGGGGGGAGGGGAGGTGGAGGGGGGAAGGAGAGGCGGGGGGGGGGACATATGTTGGGGCGCCAAAATGGTTTGGAAAAATGAATTGAAAGGTTGAGGGGGGTTTAAATCAAAAGTTTGAGTGGGGGGGGTGGGGTGCACATCAAAAGTTTGAGGGGGGGGGTTGCAAATCGAAATCTTGCGGGGGGGGGGGGGGGGGATTCAAATCGAAAAGTTTGTCCCCGGGCGCCGGGAAGGGTCGCTATGCCTCTGAGTGACAGACGTGATGTTTTTTGATGGATGACCCCCGAAACCCACAGTTATCCAACGGATGACGGGTATTCTAGTATATATATATATATATATATATATATATATATATATATATATATATATATATATATATATATATATATATATATATATATATATATATATATATATATATATATATATATATATATACATATATATATATATATATATATATATATATATATATATATATATATATTATATATATCTTGTGTTTTTCAAATCAGACTGTTATAACTCAAGATTAAATAATTGTAAAATGTGTTAAAGCTTTGTTCTCCTTGCAGTTTGAACATTGAGCTCTTTGTACTTAACTGTATACTTAAGGTAGTTGAAATGGCATTGAATATTTTTTATAACTGTACTAACGAATATTATACAAACGTGTCTATAAATCTCGTCAAAAGCGAAAAACAGATTATATGTATATATATATATATATATATATATATATATATATATATATATATATATATATATATATATATATATATATATATATATAAAGATATATAATCTTTTCTTTTAAAATCCTCACCATGCGGACCATAAACCGGTTAATACAATTGCATCGTTTTACGTTATCCTATTGAATACATTATAACGACTGCATTTGATACAAAGCGTAATACACATATGTCACCACCGTGCTGTGAAAACTTTAACCCATTTACCTTCTTGCGACTTAATTCCCGTCCACCATATTGACTGACTCAGCAACCAGGAAGGGCTTTAGTTTACTGGAAGCCATGTTTTGTTATCAATAATTTGGTTTTAAGGTAAGGGTTTTAATTATAAAACGATAATTGATGATCATTAACTTTGAATTTTAATACAAAATGACTTCCATTTAAAATTCCAACTAGATTGATTTGATAAATTGTCAAGAAATGCACTGATAATTGTCATTGGAACAATATTAAATACTGTTAGGTACGTTTTATAAGCTTAAACAATGCGAAATGAACATATCTTTCACTTTGACGAATTTACCAATTCCAACCCCCCTTTCATCGTCTGCTTGCTTGTCAATCAACGGCCGGTATTTTAGTCTTGTTACATCAGAGGCGTATCCTACCCGGGACAAACTTTCAATTTGGCGCCCTCTTCTCATATATATATATATATATATATATATATATATATATATATATATATATATATATATATATATATATATATATATATATATATATATATATATATATATATATATATATATATATATATATTTTTTTTTTTTTTTTTTTTTTTTTTTTTTTTTTTATTTTTGTAATGCAAAACTGCAGCTTTTATTTTTTTCCCAACCCATTTTGCGCCCCATAGGGTCGGCGCCCAGGGACATATGTACCCTCCGCCTCCCGCCCCTCTCGCTACGCCTCTGTGTTACTTCGTTTTGTTTAGTCTTGAACGGATACATCGGACTTTACATCGGAATTTAAACAACACATGTTTTAATGTGTAAGCCCTTTGCCCCGTATAGATTTTACTAGCACTTGACCCTAACTACACGAAAGCGCCATAGCTGTTGAATTAACATTTGCAACGGCGGAAGGGGTTGTAGGTTATGTTCATGAGGCTATAAACTTGTTTAAGGTACAATCTAAGTCAGTGGTTCCCAACCTTTTACGAGTGGCGACCCCCTTTTATAAAAATTTAGTGACCCGCGACCCCCATAGAATTAAAGAGCCGAAATTAGTATGGAAATCAATAAGCACTAAAATAAGATTTTCTAGTAGAATTTCAATATGAACTACTCTTGATAAATGTTTTAATACCATGAGTAAAATTGCATACTATTCACTAAACATTCGCGGTTAATTTTTTTTTAAGTAATTTCTTTTTTAACGCCAACCTATGTCAATATCATTATTTTAATTTTGTTGTTAATCGAAAAATAGTGTTCAAAATAAAATTATATTCTCGAAAAGTCAATCAATTTTACGTTTGGATATAAATGGTTAATACTACATCAATATTGTGTCTGAAGTTTTTCATCTTACGCGGAATCATTCTACAAATCAAAGATATCATCTTGTAATTCATCGGGAATGCTGGCAACATCAAGGGAAGAAGAGAATGGGTAATGCGTAAATGCAGATTCTTCTTTTTTCAGCTCAGAGAAATAGCGCTGCAGTTCGTTTTCAATAGATTCAAGATGCCCAGAAATTTCTTCTTTCAAAATTTTAATTATCTCACAATTAGATTCATCTACCACACTGCAGAGTTTCTCAAATTTACAATATTTCCAAGATTTATTTTCTTCGCCGATTTTGCAGCTTTGATAAAAATGCCCCGAGATTATCATGGAAAGTGATAATATACGTTCACTTTCCCTGAAGCTTCAGGTTATGCTTATGTTGATGTTCGAACACATCTGCTAGGCATGATACTCTCTCCAACCACTCTATGTCGTTTTAAGTATACCAAAAGGTCTTGTTTCCTTTGCATTTCCAAGAGCAATTTGATTTCAGATTTCAATTCAAAAACACAATTCACAACAATTCGTTTGACAGCCAGCGCACTGTAGTGTAGAAGAGCAGAACCTCGTGATCTTTATTCAGGTCTTTGCTCAGTTCTTTGAAGGCTCCAGATTTTATATAATTTACGAATTATACTAGCAATGGAGTTTTGATGGCGATTGGCGAGGGCAGTGGTTAGGGAGCTAAATCTTTTCTGCTTTCTGAAAGCCCGATTTTGACCTAAACATCGATGGTGGACCATCCGTACAAACCCTCACAGCCGTTTTAACCCATTTTAATCATCCAATTTAAAAAAAAACATATTTATTTTCTCTTCTTTGCTATCATCTGAATGAATATAAACAAAGACTAACAACTGCGAACACGATTTACGTCTGTTGATTTATCAACTTGAAAAGCAAACAATGGTGAAAGTTTAATTTCAATAAAAATGTGTTATTTAACATCTATGGACATGTAAGAATTAACTTCACCATCTTCAACATGCAGCGTTTGGTGAGATTTTCTCCTATTGTGATTTTTTTTTGCTTGGCATTTTCTGTCGCGACTTCATTTGATGCTTGCACTAAATGCTGTGTTTCCTTGGTGAAAACTTCCTGTTCGATCAAGTCTCTGACGTTTGCAACTAGCTTCATACCGACGAAAGAACTGCATATCTTTTTTGGAGTTTTTCGAATGACTCGTGTCAAATGACGTTTAAGTTTTGACGATTTCATAAACTCGTGACTGAGAACAACTTTGTAGAGTACGCTTTGCTTCTTCTCTATTCCCTTTCCAGTGATGTTAGTAAAGCCGAATTTCAAAAATTCTTCTAAATATTTATGTTTTGTTTCAAATTAATAAGGTTTAGTATACCAGTTGGCGACCCCCCAGAAAGCCCTTCGCGACCCCCATGGGGGTCGCGACCCCCAGGTTGGGAACCCGTGATCTAAGTAGTCATAGACATTATATTTATGTGAGACGAGCGGCTAACAAACAGAACTGGTTTAATGATGGTTGTTCTGTGAAAAACGCTCGATTAATAACATATTTAATAATATGTAATAGTCATTAATTAATTATCTGTTATTATATGTTTTGCTTGTTTAGAAAAAAAAACTATCTAAACATTTCAACAATAATCAGCACATATTTTATTTGTCAATTGGCTCTTCGACACAGAAAATGATGTGTTTTACTGTTAACATTTTTTTCTAGTTTTTGTTTCTCAAATTTGCATTTTTTACTCAGAATTCAGAATTCAATAACTAATCTTAGAACCTTTATCATTTAAACGTGCAATATTCCACATACATTAAGCCTTTTATTATAAGCACATATTTTTGTTTACGTTAAACATTTCATTAAAAAAGACATTCTAGCTATCGTTATGAAAATCAAAATAAAATAAATCTATAATTAGATTTTGTATATCTTTTATGACAGCAAAGCTACAGAGGTTTAAAAATGTGTGAATTTTCAATTGAGGTGTCTTGCCTTTAAATGGGCTTTGAAAATCAATCTAATTACAATACCATACTAATAATATGTATACAATCTGATTAGTCAACGTAAAGTTTAGTTAGTATGGCATTCTTTACAGCCGGTAACTTAATAAAGACTAGAAGATGAGTTAGTGCATGAGTACTTTTTTGTATTTCTTTTCCTTGGTTTTACATATATCTTACCTTGTTTTTATTTTTCAGATACAACCAGGAAAAAAAAAGCGTTCCTAATTTGAAGGTTTTTTTAACGTTAAGTGTACCATTTTGTTTAAAAAAACAGAATGTATCGAAACCCGCCTCGCAATTTTCGCAGAGGAAATGTTATACAAACTGTGGATTTAAATAAGTTTGACAAATTTGGCAGGACTGCGCTGATGACTGCTGTAGAATCCAATAACGCAGCGGCCGTACAAAGTTTAATTGAGCAAGGGGCTAATGTTAATGTGTCGGTCTTTTCGAGGGAACTTCCATGCACAGCCCTAACATTGGCAGTACGGAAAGGTTTAAGTGACATTGTCAGAATCCTCATCCAATCAGGTGCTAGATTTTCTTGTGACGGCGGCTGGGACGCTGTCGTTATGGCCCATTCCCATGGGTTTCTTGACGGTGTTATTGAAGGTTACAGCAAATCTAAAACTATCGCTTCGATATTTGATACAGGTTATTTTCATTATGTTTCACCTCTCGTTTTGTCTCTGAGAAATTCAAATTTCGATATCTTCAAAGATCTACTTGCAAGGGGTTTCCATGTTTGTCTTCGTGATTTTAAGGATTCCGATTTTACAAATACTGATTTTATTGTGCATCTTATCAATTGTCTTCATGATAATATTAATATAACAAACGATTCAGAAGAGACGTTGTTGATAATAGCCGTAAGGTTAAAACACGATGAGATCGTGAAATGTTTACTGGGCACAAAGATTGATATTAATGCCTCAGATAAAGAAAAAAACACGGCTTTACATATTGCTTCCAAAGACCAACCAGAAATTGCTAAACTGCTGCTAAAATATGGAGCGGACCCACGGGCTTTGAACAAAAAGGAAAAATCGTGTTTCTCTATTGCGCTGGATAATAATTTGAATGAAAAATACCTGCAATACTTTATCAAGGCGGGAGCATCCGTCGATGAAGTGGACACGAACGGATGTTCAATACTTTCAAGACATGTTGAAGCTTGCAATGTTTCGATCATTAAATTCCTTTTGAAATCGAAAGCAAATGTCAACTGTGTTGATAATAAAGGCGAGAGTCCTTTGATGAAGGCGATATTGTCAAATAATCCTTCAATAGCTGGTCTTTTAATCGACAACGGTGCTGATGTTAATGCCTGTTGTGGGACACGCAATCAAACAGTTTTAAGACTTGCTGTGGAGATGAACAGTGTTGAAATAGTAAACAATTTGTTGAGAAGTGGTTGTAAGATGGAAACTTGCCATAAACAAACATTGGAGTCTGAGGAGGATTATTATAACAGTTATTATGAGGATAATTTACCTCTTCTTATGGTTGCAATCGATCATGGTAATTCTGCATTAATTAAACTACTTCTAGAGGCCGGAGCCGATGTCAACTACAGTGACGACGATTTAGAGCCAGCTTTAATACGAGCGGTATCTATCGAACATATTGATTCATTTTGCAATGCGAAGAACAATTCAAATAGAAAAAGACTAACAAATGTTAACCCACTTTATGAACCCTTCTTTGTTGCTAATAACATTTGCAATTGTAGAAGTGAAAACACACACAAAATACTGGCTGAAATGATTGATGCATTGTTACAGCATGGTGCTAACGTTAACTCAGTAGATTTCTCTGAAAGCACAGCACTTCATATTGCTGTAGAAAAGGATAACAAAGACGCAATTTCTGTATTACTGCGCCATTCTGCCGCGGTTGACGTGAGAAACAGTCAAGGTAGAACAGCGTTAATGTTAGCTGCTCGGCTGAAATTAGAAACGATTGTATCGTTGTTACTTGAGGCAAAGTCCTCTCTCACAGTCACGGACTTTAGTGAAAGAACAGCTTTAATGATTGCCGTGGAGTCTGGTGCAGAGAATATTGTTGCATTGTTATTGAATGCAGGGGCCGATGTTTGGGCAGTAGACGATTGCAGTTACACATCACTACACATAGCAGCAGAGTTTCCAAACACAAATATCATGAGAATGATACTTGATTATTGTAATAGATCTCAAAAGAATACCAAACACATAGATTTATTTTTTCCTAAAACTAAATTGAATGATAATCCTCAAAATCATTTAGTAGCGGAAAAAATTACAGTTCAAGATACACGAGTAAATACATTTGCTCAAAAGAAAAATAATTTTGACGAAACGGCTTTCATTATAGCTTGTCGATACAATCAAGTTGACAACATGAGATTATTACTAAATTTTGGGACTGATATAAATGAAATAAATAGATATGGCGATACACCGTTACTATCAGCTTTAGATTATATGTCGGAAGATGCAGTAGAGATTTTACTAGAAAATAGCGCTGATTTAACTAAAATAAATAATAAAGGAATGTCTGCCTTACACTATGCTGCTAAATGCAAAAGCACATCGATTTTTTATCGAATTTTGATGTCCGGGCTAGATGTGAATAAACAATCAGACATAGGCGAAACACCGTTATTTTTTTGCAACAAAAAGGAATATTCACAACAACTGATAGATGGTGGTGCAAACGTCCATCACAAAAACAAAGAAGGTATGACGGCGTTACACTACGCTGTTAGAAAAAACAATATGGAGGTTGTCAAATTATTATTACATTACGGAATAGAGGTAAATATCATTTCACAAAGAAGAGAAACGCCTTTGTTCATTGCTGTAACAAATAAAAATTTTGAGATGGCTGAACTTTTAGTAACATCTGGAGCAGATGTTAATATTAAAGGTTTAGATGGCAATACACCGTTGTTATATTCAGCCAAGTTTCCAGTTTCAAAATCAAATCCACCCACGTCTATGAGCTGTACAAAATACAAAAAAGAAATATTTAAGCTGCTGATATCGAATGGGGCGTCTATAAACGAACAAAATAATGATGGAGAAACGGCTCTAATGCTGTCCTTGGGTCGTAATGACAAGTTCTGGTTTGAAAAGCTAATACAACTTAGACCAAACCTAGATTTAACCGACTGTGAAAATAGATCGGTTTTAATACGCGCCTTAGAAATCGACACAAATTATAAGAAACCGTCATATATTAAAACATTTTTAAACATGGGGATAAACCCTGTTGTTAATGAATCACACAGAGAGAGTGTTTTGAATACGTGTTACTTTTGCAACAAACCGAACAAATATTCCTATTGTATTTATAATTTAATTAAAAGCAAAAAGAATGAGTTTCTGAGATTTTTTTTCTGCAATGGGGCTGTACCTGTGGCATCATCGAAAAACCAGGATGATGTTTCTTTTATTAGTCTCGCCATAAGTGAAAGAAACTACGATTGTATAAAATATTTTTTCGCCATTGGGTTTATAAATAATGCCGATCTGGTTTTTATCAATAAGTTATATCCAAGAACAACATCATCTTATAGTTCAAACCTTAACAATAACGAAATACATGCAATATTAGAACTGGCATCCCAACAGCCGTGGCCGCTAGTTAAGCTAGCATTTATTGCCGTGTCTACTTTATTGGGGTATGGCCCAGAGAGGGAAGTCAAACTACAGGAAACTAAACTTCCACCAGCATTAAAGCGGATGTTAATGTTCCAAGTAAAAGCATCGACATTACCGGTTGCCGAGTGGGGCAATATACCTCTATGTTTTGATCCAGATCAGTATGAAAAACTACCTAATCCACGGCCTTTGATCCATTATTGGCCCATTGGTCAAAAACTTTGTTAATCATTGTATTTGCTTACATGACTTATTAATATACTGTAAAATCAGAATATTTCTTTCTGTAGACTTGAGCTGAATACTTAATATGTTTTATTTTAGATTTAGCAGTTTTTGTTTTTTAAATTATTGTTTGTACTGACATCAGGATATTACTTAATCGGTAGCTTTGAATTGCATACTTAATTAGGTTTTATTCTATATGTATCTGGTTGTGATAAATTAAATTTTGAAATATAACCAGAATATTACTATTTATATATCATTAAATTGTATAACACATTTTTATTTTTTTATTTGAGATTTAGAAGTCTTTGCTAAATTACTTTTTGAACTTTAATTTAATTTTTTATTTGCATCATTGAAGGATATTTCTGGATCAATATATTTAAAACGTATTTTGAAAAAAAACACAACATAATTAACATTCATTTACAATTTCTAATTCCTTGTACACGCTTCCTGAAAAAAAATGTGATTACTTTTACATTATTCTAAATCAATAATTCCTTCATATACTTTGAGTTGAAATTTATGAAATGTAAAATTATGTTGATATGTTTTAACTGTATGACAAATTAAAAGGAAAAAGGGGAAAAACAACTAAGAGTGATTAAGCTAAACGGGGTTTTCATTTAAGCAGATATGATTAGTTGATATTGTTTTGCGTTTGTTTCGATGTATACAATTTATAAATTAAATTTTATTTATCAGAATAACATTTAACATTTTAAAACACAGATATGGATATTTTAGAAAATTTTAAAGCGTATTAAATTTATACATCAATGAATTGTAAAAAAAATGTATTGTGTCCATCTTTTATTAATGGAAGCCACATGTTTTTGTTTTCTACAGTATAATTCCCATTACATTTGTATTCCTTTTATTTTTAAATGTTATACTTTTATAAATGACTTACATTTTTTTAATCACCACACATCTTGTTATGCTTCGTTACGAAAAATAACATTTATGCATTTTTAAAATATAATTATTCAGTGTGTTTCAATAGTGTTTAAACGATTGCGTTGTTAAATAAAGTGTGTATTTTTTATTCTAGTAAATTTTAAATAAAATGTATACAACTAACAAATTATTACACTAAAAAAAATTAGCCATAAATAAGGCGCTACACCCCGAAGTAACACTACAACCTGTTGTAGAACTACAAACACGTGAAAAAATATAACCCAGAGAAGAACTATAACTCTGTATAGAACTACAACCCGATTTAACACTACAACCCAATGTAGCATTACAACCTGGAGTAACATTACAAACCAGGGTAAAATTACAACCCCGTGTAGCACGATTATACAAAGTTACAAATAATGTTTATAGTCACTCTAAGTAATAGAAAATTAATATCAGTATCATAGCCTGAAGTTTAGTTTTACTATTTTTTAAACCTTTCACACCTTGAACACTTACAAAATATATCTATGTTATGTACATGTAATGGAGCTGTCACATCCAATTCTTAAAACACACGTTAATAAAATATTATAAAGGCGGCCCGAATGATCATTTTAGAATACGTGCTTTTAACCAACGACTGCAAATCTATGCTGGTATTTAGTGGAACATATCGATCATGCGTGTATATTGCACACTGTTGAAACTTCTAAAAGCGTACCGTAGTTGCTATTCGGGAAGGTCGTGTTTCAAATTGCAGGTGTGCATAATTCACGGCTTTTATTAAAGAAGGAAGTAGAAGCAAGTCTGGAAATTCCAAACATTTTTGCGCATGCACCAAATGTCGTATTCTGTTTTTAATTTAAGTTCAACCTTACTATATAGATGGTCACATGCCAATGTCAGTATGCAATTGCGCAATTGATTTTTTTGAGTAAAGAAAATATATTTTTTAATAGGCTATACATACCATGTATTATAAGCTAGTGTAACTGTCACCATTCCCGCTCGTTGCTGAGTTCTCAGAAGGAAGGCTGGCAGGGGCGTAGGGTGCGGACCGCACTGGTCGACACCATTTACAGGTTTGCACCAACACACAGACAGAAGTTAAAATATATATGGAAAAATTGTTTATTGCTAATTCAATTATTGAAAATTAAAAGGATTAAAAACAAGTATTGTGAGTAGAAATTGATGATCTAGGCAAGGTGGGGAGCGGTAGGTGTGACACCATGATGTATACATGCTTACTGTATACTCACTATATTGAAAACACAGCTATATTAATAATAATATATAACCGACTCTGTATAAACATTTTGTATATTATTTTTGCATAATATTTTTTGCACAATTTTAAGCTATCACCCTAACATCGGCGTGAGAGGGGTGGGTGGTGGGAGTATACCAACTGCATCATTTGAGGAGGAAATAAAAGTTAAGCTGAATAACTAATAAGTCAGTCACCTACCGTGCCAGGGTGACACCTGACCTAGCGACGCCACTGGACTGAAGCACTATCTATATATATAATTCTCTTCTGGGAGACGCTAGAAAACAAGCTGTAATCGCGCTCCCTACCACCCTCACCCTACATGGTCTGGTGAGCTGTGGTTCAGTCTAAATGTTCACAAACAGAGCCGGGTTTAGTGACGACTATTCAGGGCAGATAATTTAGTTTGAAACGATTTTAAACGTAGGGGGTGGGGGGTAACTAAGTGGAGTTTACTTTAAAGGAGGGGGGAGGGGGGGTTATCGTCCTTAACGAGCTACTTATAGTGTTTTAAAGAAATATTTTCAGCGGCAGCGTTGGTAGTGTAGAATTCACAAATTATGAATAACTGAAAAGTAGAAAAAACAACAACTAAATAGCGTCGTATGATATGCCGCGGGTCGGCTCGTATTTAAATAATGTCATTATTGCATTACCAATCGCATATTGTTTTTTATGCGTTTGTCCACACTACCTCCCAGACGCTCTTGGATGTGATGTATAATTGCATTGATTGTTCGTTATTAGACCTCCCTAATACCACTAAGCCTAACAATGTCGCAATTTATCAAACCAATGAAAATTCTATACTTTTCTAAAACAAAATAAAATGAATGAATGTGTATATTGTATCTGTTGTAATTTTAAATTTTGTGAGTTATCTATCATGATAAACGACAATAAAAAAATTACACCCCTTTTAGTTAGTTTATATTTGGAAAAAAACGTTATAATTAGCATGCATTGATTAAGTGCAATGATATAGGTAATACACAGTTTTTTTTAATAATAACTTTTATTTATTGTACACACTGAATGTTATGATTACTAAATATTATTTTTATCAATAAGAGTTTAGAAGCCGTTACTTAATGTCCCACATGTTTACGTTGATTTGTGCGATTATGAATGCATTAGCATTGTCTTTGTTTTCCATTACGCTTTTGGTTTTGTTTTCGTTACTATTTGTTGTTTATGTTTGATTTTATGTTTTTTTCGTTTGATTTTTTTGGCGTTTGCGTTTCAGTTTTCGTTATTGTTTGCGTTTATTTTTGCGTTTAGCTTTGTGTTTATGTTCGAGATTACTTTTGCTTTTGCCATTTTTTTAGTTAGTTTTTGCAATCATGGTTGTGTTTATATTTGACCTTGTGTATTTGTATATTTTCTATTAAGTTTATATTTGTGCTAATGACTATGTTTTTGCGTTTGTGTTTGCGTTAACCCTTTATTTACGGAATTAAGTTCTGAATGAAGTTTTGCCTTTAACAATGTGTTATGATATTGCTTTTGGGACACTTAAAATATACGTCGAAGAAAATATAATGTTTTGTTAATTTTTATTGGCTCAAATATGTATTGATACTGATAAGAACCGTCAGGAATGTAAAACATTTTTTTCCAAAAAATATTTTTTTTTTACAAAACAGTAAGGAACTGTAACATGTTTTAGCTACGACCATGGCAATCATTATAGTAATTATTTGTATAATTGTCATACAAAAACACAACACAAAAGTATATTTTGTTTATGGTTTTCGACATGATATTCAATGGGAACACGTCTTAGATTTTCATCTTACTGTACAGAACACAGAAAAAGGTCCCGACATTACCTTCTTCCTTTATTCCTTAATGACACGCTTGTCTGTGGTCTTTCTGGTGTGGTAAAGTTGTTGGACTGAACTTTCTTTTGTTTGAAGCTCCCAAAAGAAATTACAATGAGCCTCATACAAATATTTTGAAAACAAAAGCCTAGTTATTCAGTACACAACTGCTAGTGATACTAGTATAATTGTAGCCCACTAGAATGTTATGACACGTCTACCCTACAGTGTAAATTTCATAAATAGAAGTGAGCTCCATGTGCTTATAATAGGCTTAGTGGCTTACTGTTTATATCTCCTGATTATAATTTACCATAACGATCTATAATATATGTAGAAGTATGGAAAATTACTAGTCTATATGTATACATAAAGTATGTACTAATCATTCCATCATACGAGGTATAAACATCGAAACTAAGAGAAACTGAAAGCACTCTTTTCTTCTTTTAGTTTCAAAATATAAAAACTGTCAAAATTGAGTTTGTTTTTCTTTGCGCTTTTCAAATATTGTTTTTATATTCTGTATACGAGATAGTAAAAATATAAATGAATAAAATTCACTCATGTAAGATAAAAATATAAAATGCATATACAAGAACAATGTTATTACTTTTGGTTCAGCCTCAAAACTAATTTAAAATACAATGTGTTGCAAAACCTTAAATCACTTTTATCTGTTTATTAACAGTTAAACGATTAATTTTAAAATATATCTTTTAAAACAACAAACTGTTGGTAAGAGAATGCAGTTCACACTCAAACAACCAGCATATAAAGATAACTTTAAAAAAAAAGTTGAATTAGCAAGCATATTGCAAGTGGACTTCTCAAAAACTCTAATTGATATTTTAAATCTATCATGGGGACACTATTTCTTTTCATCATCTTTAGGGCATGTTTCACCTTCTTTTTTCGATGAAATTGATTGTGTTTTGTCATTTGGTGATTCACATTTTTTCAAATCGTCAATCCCTTCATAAATGGCGTTACTGCAGTTTAGTAATTTTAACATATTGAATACGTTGCGATCTCCATTATAGATGCCAATGATTTTATTTTTTGCCGAATTAAAGCTTTTTATTATTTTACCCCATTTCACGATAGAAATTAAAATTGGTTTTCCTTTGAGTGCTTTTAATGAGCCTGGTAATAAAAGCTCACCTACTGTCTTGCTTATACTCAACATATCTTCACCCTTGTGGATTTTAAAAACTAATGAGCAGCTTCCTGTTGCTAGTTTTAACACACCAGCAACTGGT